GGGGGGGAACAACTTTCTCATTCATAACACCGAAACTAAAAACCTTAATAGTAAAAAGAGGTTAAATGTCAAAAGTAAATTTTTTATGTGGACAACCACCCATAATTCAAAATTCTGTTTAAGGAAACAAAGTCAGCCCTAAAATACAAGAAGTGTGCCCGTGAAAGTATAAAACTATAGTTATATCCATAAGTAAAGAAACAGAAGGAATTTTAATGTCATTTAAAAAACAAACAAACAAAATCCCACCATGCAGAAAGAAAGAAGGTATGTGTGCAACTTTTCCTTAACACTGGGGGGCGGGGAGCAGAGGAGGGCCTTTCTCCACGCTTTCAAACTTTAGCCAAAGCTGACATGGTAAATTATTCTTTCCTTCCCTTATTTATGAATAGCTCCAACATCCTTAAATTTAGTTTAAGTTGTCCAAATTTCAATCCTTATTTTTGACATGCAAGCATTCCCAGCAGGACGATCAATCTGCAATTTGTCTGGCATAGTTACTTCAGTAACTTTAGTATTGTTTTCATTCTCCCAGTTGCTGATTTATGTAACCAACAAACACCAACCGGACACACCAAATTTTTCCTGTGATGATTAGCTACATAAATTATCCAGTCATGGAATAGGAACAATGGGACAATATTTAAATAGCCAACACAAGATAAACTCCAAATTATGTAAACGGGTTCTTAATTCATGTAGAAAGTATGTCAAGTTTGCTTTAAAGTGATTCCGAGCAAACTGCTTCGTATTTGTCATAGCTTCACGGAAAATGCTGTCATGCTTGCAACCTAACCTGAGAACATGCCTCACACAATGGGCTCCTGGAGCCATGAGGAGCACTTGTTGGAACAAAGATCCTGCACAGACAACACGATGGCTTTGCAAAGCAGCTCGCCCCTTTCAAATTCAATTTAAAAAACTAGCTAAAACTAGCCTACGCTATCCAGCCAGTGTTTGCAAGTGTGTTGTTCTTGTTTGTCAGAAACCAGAAGTGTTGCAGCACTTCAGTGGGTTGGGTTTTTTTGTTTGTTTTTAAATATAATAGGCAGCAAGACGGGACCTTGGAAAACAAGGAGCAGGGCAAACAGTGAGGGCTGCAAACAAGAGGGAAGAGAAGCCAAAGAAACTACTCCTATGAGAAAGTTAGGTGTCTAATGGTTTGCGAGCCATATTTACACAGCATAACAAAAAGTTCTCCAGACGCACACCACTTCACCTGGAGCAACCTCTCCAAGATCTAACACTCAGCTAAAAGACTCCACAGGCACATCCCCAAATCTGAGAAAACTGATTTGACAACAAAGCTTCTTCTGGAACTGCTGCTCTTTTTTCACCCAGGAAGAAAAAAGTGACAAAATACTGCCTGAAAGCCAGCAGCATAAAAACGTTTCTCTGTTTTGCAAATGTGATCTTTCGCTAAAGTAAAAGTTGCCATCTGACTAACCGTAACCTACCTAGCAAGAAATGAGTCAACGGCAGAGCCCGCCCTTTGACCCGCTCGCTTAGTGTGTCATATTAATTGACACAGTAAGTTAGTGACACAAAGCAGGTCTGGTTGAGCAGGAAGCCCAGCGTAGTTCAACTTCTCCTCATTTAAATGAGCTCATTTAAATAGACGAGCAGCCCTCTGAACTCGTGGCAGGTCTCTCCGGCGCGGTACAGAGCGCGCAGCGACAGGAAGTCATGGCTAGAAATCTCGCACTTCCCCAGCTGATACTTTTTACTAGATTACAACCCAGCTTTGTTTTTCCGTCTTGTTAGTAATCAGGCTATTCGCTGCTGGTTTCCTGTTTTAACAGGGCCCAACTGAAAAGGCTTCTGGCCAGGCTCCATGACTGGACCATTGGCTTACTGTTATTTACACCCAGAATAAAGGCTTTGGGACACGACCAGTAGCCCCAGCTGACCTACTAATTTATTTTGCCTTAAAAGCAGGCTAGCACCAGGTTATTTTATGTCTTCTCCTAAATACTTTTAATCTAAACAGAAAAACTGCTTTTACAGGACTAAATTAAAGCAGCACAAGTTCATTTGCAGAAAGGTCTGAGAAACAATACAAAATCCCAGTTCTCCACTCCTGCCATCACCACTCAGATGAGCAGAGTCCACACTATTAATGACCTAAGAACTACATGATCAGCATCTCTTCTTTATAAATTACTTTATCTTCCTGGCTTCCCAGCTAAAGTCATATACATGATTGAATGCACTGTTGCATCGTATCACAGCTCAAAGACTTTACCGGTCTTCCCGTAATCAGCTCAGGGAAGATTACACCTAGGATCTCGACTCTAGGCTCAACACAGCCGTTAGCAGCTTGAAACAACCTGAGTAAAAAAGTGTAGTGATGACTAAAGTTGATTTAAAAATAAATTACTGCTACTTAAGAAGGCACACTGAAATACTTTGAGGGGGAGGACAAAGTATTTCGAGAGGCTGAGACAAATGAAATGGAAGTTAATATTAAAAATTTAGGCTATCGGGGGAAAAAACAACAAAAGCAAACAAAAAAAACCCCTATCCCATTGTGTCGAGGAAGAGCTTCACAGAGGAAGTGGCAGAAGCCAATTGTTATTCAAAACAGGACAAAGTATACCACAAGGAACAATCTCTGCCCTCCAGAGAGGGGATGGACAAAAAGCACCTTACGGAAAACCTCCCACCCCAGGCCCTTAGGGCTCTCTAAATTTCTTAGGCCGGATTTTTTTTTTTTTTAATGAGCTCAGAAACAGAACCAGCTCCCATCTAAGCCCCCGATCCTGTC